TTTATTATAGGAAGAACACTTAGCCTATCTTCAAATTTCCACCAATTTATACATTTTCATTTTTTGTATTTATATTGTATTTAATGAAAGTATGCAAATCTTTCTTAAACAGATGGTTTCTGATGTTGCTACCATATTTTGTATTACAGAACTTATTTAGATATTTGTTTATGGAAGAACAATCTTCCCAACAGTCCCGGATTTGGCTAGGAGAGCCCACCCTTATCCTTTTACACACTCAACAATATTAAGAGGTATGATAATGACCTGTCTAGTATGTCTATGGTTCAAACAGCGCAAATACCCTACCCCTGACCATAATAAATACTTCCTTGTACAATTTAATTTGATTCTTAATTGCGGTCCATTTGGGAAATTGTTGTGCCGGTTTCTATGTCAACCTGTAGGTTTAAACCATGTTCTCATATGAGTTTGCTAGTGTTGTTGGTATTTTTCCACATCTTTGAGAAAACATATATATTTTTTTAATTTAGCCTGATTTAGCCTGATGTGCAATTATCATTATATTTTATTGTAATATGTGAGCCACCAAGAAGTTTTTTTAACATAACATTTGAATTGATTTTTTAAATTTTATTTCCTTTTTAATTTTTTACATTTGTGTTTATTGTGTAATTTTTTTTAATGTATTTATATATTCCTTTTTGATAATGATACATAGATCAAGACAACAGTAACTAATATGCTAATGTTTGTGCCCGTTATAAAAACAACACGTGTATCATATCCGCACATCTATGTGCAATATGTTATCATATCATCTGACATACATATGTTCCTGGGGGTATTCCCTAATTGTATGGAAAGATTAGTACCATATTTGAATTAAACAAAAAATGTAGAAGCTATATTTTTCGAGGATGTTTACAGAGTTAGATGTAACAGATGAGAACTTTAATGATACTTGTGGTTATTTACGGCCTTTTTTCTAGCAAGCTCCTAGGAAGACACTTTTGCATTGTGGTGAGAAGTCTGTATTGACAGTTCTTTTCTGTGGACCATACTCACTACGTATAGAGGATTCCTGTCAACTTACATGATACTGTTCCACTTAAAATACATCACCTTAGTACCAGTGCAGAATTCATGAAAGGAAAATTTGTCACAATAAAATGTCAAAGTGTGAGTTGACTGAATTTGCCATTGAACAAAATAATCCATCTGTAAGGGACTGTAGGCCTTACAGAAAACCCAGCACACCTTTGCATTGTGGCATAGTCTTTGGTCTTGAGAAGTCCCAATTAGTTCAAGAGTTTAATTCTACCATGGCAAGGAGATGGGAAAAACACGACCATCACCAAGAGTCTTGCAATCATCGACAGATGACATTTGGAAAAGATGCAATACAAAATATGGGAAACTTATTTAGTGAAAATAACTGTGATCTTATGGTACTTGAAAGTAGAACTATAGTACATCCAGCAGTCACAGACCTATTATTGCGTATTGAAAAAAAATTGAAGATGACCCGTATGAGTTATGTACATGTCAGTGCCAAGCTCATTAATTAAACTAAATATAACGCAGGATTCTATTCAGTGGAATAACCTCCACCTCTTCAGCCCTACTCAAATTTGTTAAAAGTCAAGTAAACAGGTAAAACTGACATAACTGAGCAATGGCAGATCACTATTTTCTAGGCTCTACATTGCATCACAGACATGTAATAGATATCTGGATGATTTCTTTACACAGGAAAACCAAGTCTATCCTCCAGCACTGTCAAAGTTAGGGAATCTAAGGATTGGATCAAAGTCAGATTTATTGCCTTTTTTTTTTTTTTACATGATTGAACAATAAATAGTTACAAAAATTAGGAAACCTAAATGACAACTACTCAGCATTTTTAAAAATGTATGGAAATTTTATTACAGGAAACATCTGAGATGAATGGCCTCCTGGCCAAAAATGTTCATTATAGTGTGGTTTGAAAGTGTGCCAAAATTCATGATTCTATCATCAAAGGCTTCACCCATCTTCAGGAATGTTAGCATATTTTTACTTTGAGCTTCATGTTTTTTCAGGTTTTTTTGTACATTTTACTTTGCACTTTATGTTTTGTAAATGTGTGGTCATGTAGCATTTGTGATAAGTCTTTCAAACTGTTTAGACTAGATTTTTCAAGAAAAATTCAAGAAAATTATACACTATCTGACTTATTGTGTATATTATATTTATCCTCTATACAGAAATGTTGTGTCCTCTTAAGCTTAATTGCACTGCTATCCCCTTTTTGCCTCTTGTAGTTTTGGCACACGTAGATTGGCAAGTTTTGTCTGGGATAGGTCCCTGTCGCACCTTGCACTATTGCAATCATGACCCACCGGAGGGCATCCTACTCTCAAGTGACTCATAGCAACAGGAAGGTGACGCACTGGGGAGGCCCCAGACCTTCCAGTCTAGGGTATCACAGGACCTTTTGGCCATTGTCATGGTTGACATGCAGCCAACTATTTTGACCAAGTATAGCAGGGTGAGATAAGAGGTGAGGCAGGTGGAGTTGTTTTTGTATTCTCTTTCATATCAGCATCTTCCAGTTTCTCGGTGCTCAGATGTCTCTTTCTCACCAGAGACTTGATGTTCCTCACTCTCTCTTTCTATATATATTGATTGATTTAGTGTTATTAACCTTGGACTGTTTATTGACTTTGAACTTGCGCTGCCAGGAATATTGACTCCAGGACTTCCTGATCTTGCTTTCTGAATTACCCCTGTATTGTGAGTCCCGGACATTAGGTTTAGCCATTACTGTATTCTGGCCTCCAGTGTACCGACCTGACAAAATATAAACCTATACTGTTACCAAGTTATACTCAGTGCCCTTTTTAGTATATAAAATTATTAATAAACAGGATTTCTAGGTATTTTGGCATTTTTCAAAATGTAAGCAAATTTGTAGGATGCCATTACACTTTTCATTCATTTAAACAAATCCATGTGTAATGCCAGTGATTATCCACTAGATGACAACAATTTTCCATGTTAATCTAAGACTTTTTAAAAGTGTACTTGTGTTTGTTACAACTTAGCTTTTACAGATATTTCACATTAATTGTTCAGCATGGAGGACCTTGTTGTCTGATGGCACAGATTTCTCCTGCTATTTATCTCATCAAAGAGAGGATTCTGTATATCAAGTTGGTGTGAAGTTAATAAATATGACTATAGTATTGCTGGAAAGGAACACATGACCAATGGTGATCAAGATAGATGGTTTGATATTTGCATGTTAACAAGCTACAACACAATTACAATTCTCGACAACATTAAAAAATGTAATAAGGAATTTGAGTAGCCAGAGAATTGTGGAGGCCTTTGTAACTTTTGGGTTAAAGGGACACTATAGTCACCAGAACTATTACAGCTTATTGCATTTGTTCTGGTGAGTAGAATCATTACCTTCAGGCTTTTTGCTGTAAACACTGTCTTTTCAGAGACAATGCAGTGTTTACATTAAGCCAAGTGATAACTCCATTGGTCAGTCCTCATATGGCTGCTAGAGGTACTTCCTGGGGCAGTGCTGCAGGGTGAGCAGCACTGCCATTCAGTGTCTAAACCCTCTGCATGCAGACACTGAACATTCCTCATAGAGATGCATAGATTCAATTGATCTCTATGAGAAGATGCTGATTGGCCAGGGCTATGTTTGATTTGTGCTTTGCCCCTGATCTGCCTCCTTGACAGTCTCAGCCAACCCTATGGGGAAGTATTGTAATTGGCTCAGACCACCACTTCTGATGATGTAAGCAGACAGAGGCAGGTCAGGGGCAGAGGCAGCAGCTTCAGACTTGAATGCACATAAGATTTTACTATATTTAGGGAGACAAGGGGATGCCAGGGAGGTATATGGTGGTTTTAACATTATAGGGTCAGGAATATATGTTTGTGTTCCTGACCCTATAGTGTTTCTTTAAATCATAGTAATGTCCAGCGAATACAAAAAATAATTGCAGGTTTGAAGGATCGGATTTATACTTACTTATTAATATTAACACACTTGTGAATTGTAAACCTTATCCATCTTATGATAACAATGCAATGTTATGCACTTTAGTTCACATTCTTCTATATCTTAAACAGGCAGTTCGAACACCATAACCACTACAGCATGTTGTACTAGTTAAGGTACTAGTAGGCTATGGATACTATCCCACAGTTTGGTTACCGAATAGGGGGGCCCAAGGCGCCCATCATCTGGCCAGGTGCTTGCCATATAGCTAATACCGCATTAATATCTCCATATTTAGAAGGCAGGAATAGACCCTCAAAATCAAAATCAAAAATGTTTGTTATTATCTTGCTGCTTTAGCAATAAGGAAAGCAAGGACTGGGCTGCAAATGGCTGGACCCCATTTTTTTGTCAAACCACTCAAAATCAGTTTGACCCTAAGTGGAAAAAAGCCAGTCTTTTTAGCATAAATGTTGTGAGACCAGGTGAAATCTTGCTGAAATCAACCTAGAAAAGGCACAGTTTAAAATTGCAATACTTTGCTATCCTCTCTGGTACAGAAAAGGAAAGTAAGCTAAAGGAACACTACATGGTAAGGGACACAAATGTATTCTTGATCCTATAGTGTTAAAACCACCATCTAGCACCCCCCCCCTCACACCTCTAAATATAGTATAATCTTACCTTTACTTGAGTCTGCGTCTGCTGGATCTGCCTGCTTGGCTGATATAATCAGAAGTGTTGCTCAAAAGCCAATCACAATGCTTAATCATAGGATTGGCTGAGACTGTCAAGGAGGCAGATCAGGGGCAGAGCAGGCATAAGTCAAACACAGCCCTGGCCAATCAGTAGCCACTCATAGAGATGCATTGAATCAACACAGCTCTATGAGGAAAGTTTAGTGTCTCCATACAGAGGATGGAGACACTGAATGTCAGTCACGGTGTGCAGCACTGCCCCAGGAAGTGGATGTACCCGAAGGCTGTAATGTAAACATTGCATTTTCTCTGAAATCTCAATTTTTAATGAAAAAAAGCCTGAAGGGAATGATTATGCTCACCAGAACAAATACAACTAGAAAAGTTACAATTTCAGGGGAAATTGTGTGAAGTGTTCTTGCCTCCACCTGTAGTCTACAACTGGAGTGGGCGGAGTAACTGTTATCATTTACATAGCACATTTAATTGCAACGTTGTTGCACAGTTACATTAAACCATACATTTATAAAAACATTAGCAGGTGTTCCAAAGGCCCTGTCTATGACATCACTTGCTGCTGCAGCTTGACACAGGTCAGAGTATTTTGGTGGTTGCCATCTTCAAACGGTCGTATCTTAAGAACTATAACTCCTACAGAGAAGAGCTTTATATTGTGAGAATCACAAGACCCAGACCTACATTTTGATGCATAGTATGTCTCTGAAGTATTAAAATTGAAGGCACAGTCGCAGTTTAGAAATTGCACTTCAAATTTGAGCTTTGCAGAGTGAAGTTTCAATGAATGTCAATGGTCGGCGTTGGTTGCAAACAAATGGTCATATTGTGAAAACTATCAGGACTACGGCTTAGCCGTTGACATGTTTAGTGGCAGCAGGGATAGCTGAACGTTTTGATATAAGATTTGTGTAGGTGGCCTGAAAATAAGGGAGTGGT